GCACAATTTTGTTTGAACAACCAGCGTCGCTTTTGAAGCAAACCTAAAGGAGGTTGTTTGACATGGTGAAACAAGGGCTTGGCCCAATCCTGAACCGACCAGAATGGAAATGGCTGAGCGGGATGCTTTCAGGCTTGCGCCGATGAATGTCAAGCGCAAAGAAGCTGCCATCGCCGCAGTGGGCGGCCATGCTGGCGTGTTGCATCAGGATCAAGACAAATTCCCCAACGACTAGCAGATTGCGGATTATGCAGGTTTCGGATTGGACCGTGCGGATTTCGGATTATGGGCTGCATGGGTTTTCAATGCTTCAGCATAAGGTTTCAAATCACTCTTTGCAGCGCGGATTGCAGATGAAGAAGATTGCCAACCAGAACAATGATTAATTCAGAGGATTAGGGATTGTGATTAGGCAATGGACTTCGAGCCTGAACCAAGGCCACTGCCAGAGTAAGCTAAAAGTCACAGCCATTGGCTGTTTTGGCTCAAGAGGTTTTGGATCCTGGAGCTTCAGGTTTTGATCGTACCTCAAATTTGGAGTCGGCTGCTTGAAAAGATGGGGACCCGGAATCAATCAAGCTGAGCACACAACAAGGCATATCTTTTTGTTGGGGATGCAAACAGAGGCTAGCAGCTCAGACGTTCGCAAGCTGTTGCCCTCTCCGGTTCTCGTCACTGAGAGGTCGATTTGGATCCACGGGGACTCGTTGAATTTTGCATCGCGATCCGTGCGGCCAGGCCAAGTCTTTGCTTTTGGCGGCTCAGACAAGGCCTTTGGGTGCTGAAAGTGATGCTTGGCCTCATGTGTAATATCATATCGCACAGTCCACGCTCGCAAACTGCAGAACTGGCAATGGATCTCAATGCTCTTTAAGGTTCCAACTGATCTACTTGGAGGTGAGCAATGTGTGCCTGTTTGCCTGCCTGTAGTGCGCACGGGTGGGTGTGGAATGGTGTAGGTGGGCAAGGGCGGGAGGGCCATGTCATATCGACGTGTTGCGTAAGCAAATGCTGCAGAGTCGTAGGCGGCGCAAGCAGATGTTGAGGGAACATGATCGATGCGTAAGCATCGAGCGTAAGCTTGTGTTCAAACACGTAAGCCAAAAGGTGGGTTGCGCAAGGCACGCGTAAGTGGCGGTCCAAGAAGGCAATACATAGCGATTCATGAGACATTCTGGACGCCGCAGGGAGGATGCCTGCAGCAAGCAGAGTTCTTCGACCCGGAGCGTAGCTGCCCCAGGGATCCGTTCTAGATGGCCGTGGGTCAAAAGCCCGCACCCCCAGTGAACATCCCAATTCCCACTAAAATAGACTAAAATGGGTGGTGCACCTACCCCAAAATGGTACCATTGGTTTTAACCCACAGCCAGATCAAGCCCGAGTTTTAGCTCGGCGAGAGTTTGAGAGGTAGAGCCAGTGGAAGGAGTTGAAGCATTGAGATTCCAGGGTGATTCGTTCAAGCTAACCCTCAGCATGGCTGGTCGGAGTCCAAAACTGACAGTGTCCGAGGGGGAGAGTGGCAAATGCTGCCTGACATGTTCGCTGCTCAGACCTTGCCGGATGTGTTGGGGTTGTTCACGATGGCCCCCTTCAAACCCAGTCATCGCCCAGTTTGAACTTACAGCAGGCAGAGCAGAGAGTGGGCGCCCAGAAAGGCCAGATTGAATTCCACTGCAAATGCTTATGCAGATTGTGGGTGCTTGCACTGCAGATACGTTGTTTGGACAGTTGTGCTCAGTCATTGCCAGCATATCTGAGGTCATGCAAGCGCAAAGGGGGCGCTGTGGCTGTCGCAGGGGGGCATATTTATGTCATAGGCGCGGCCCAGCGACCGTGTCCCGGGAGCCACATTTGAGTAACTCTGAAAACTCCCCTTTACATCGCAAGCGAGAGTGGTGTCATAACAAGCCCGCGTAAGCAAAACCCTGCACGGCGTGAGCTGGCTCCACGCACTTTTGTTGGAAAATGCTGCGTAAGCATCCCCGTAAGCTCTTCTGCATGATTGTTTGATAAGCCTTTGTAAGCTTGAAGGGAAACACTCAAGCCGCCGACGCGTAAGCGATGCGTAAGCGATGCGTAAGCGATGCGTAAGCGATGCGTAAGCTTAACGTGCTTGCTGACTGCTGGGTCGCGCAAGGAAAGCGCAAGCTCGTGCGTAAGCAACCTGATGCGACATAGGGAGTCATCGGAGGTGTATAGAGTCGCTCATTTGCGGATTTCTCCAAATAGGGGTTGCCCAAATGGTTGGTTCGTTCTGTTTCCCTTTACAACTCCAAGCGAAGGGGGTCCAGCCTTCGAGGCGCTCCTATTTGGCAAGGGAGACAGAGTGAAGGCTCAAATTGTCAAAGGAGTCATGCCCTGCCCGAAAAAGTCATCCGGGTGAAAGTAAAAGCGCCTGCCTGCTTTTGGCAAATTTTCCATGGCACTTTCCCCTCCCTAAGTCTTGCCGTGGCCTTGGCAAACTGTGTGTGCGTTCTGTGGATGCCAGATTAAAAGTGCACATGTGTCAGCTTCCTCAGGCGGGTCGGACGCCGAGATTTGTCACAACTCCGTAGACTGCGCGAGCCACAGATATGCAGGGCCTGGGACAGTTGCTGCGATGCAGTTTGTTCATTGCAACTTAAAGCCATGAGCAGCTTCACTTGCACGCACACAACCACAAACACAAACACAAAACACAAACACAAACACAAGCACAACCACAACCACAACCACACACCAAAACACAAACACAAGCACAAGCACAAACACAAACACAAACGCAGACAGACAGACAGACAGACAGACAGACAGACAGACAGACAGACAGACAGACAGACAGACAGACAGACAGACAGACAGACAGACAGACAGACAGACAGACAGACAGACAGACAGACAGATACATACATTCATTCATTCATTCATTCATTCATACATACATACATACATACATACATACAGGCACACACACACACTCACATACAGACACACGCACACACACACAAGTTGACATGTGCAACGCCAATACCGCTATCGCAAGGTTCTTCGGCTCTCTTGCCTTTTGCATTTTGTCCACGCCGGCACGCCAGTTCGAAGCCCAGGTTTTTCTGCACAGCACAAAGTATGGCTTCCGGCCGGAAGCCTTGGGCCGGGTTGTAACCAACCGGACTCATGGCGCAATCTGGGGCGAATTTGGGGATGCAGAGAAGAGCAGCAAGGTTCGGCTATTTGCAGTGGGAGGACCAGTTCAGTACATCAAATGTAGTTTCAAAGACGTGTGCATGTCGTGAGATTGAAGCTGCCGCAGCATCATTGACTCCGTTTTTAATGCCGACACACCTTCCGTTTTTCCGCATCTCAATTGACCCCAGCACCAAAAGGGAAACCTGCAGTTTGTCAGGTTTCCCCTAATTTGGTGGTTTGGATAAACCTCCTCAACCACCAAACCCCCAATCCAAAAGAGGGAAGCTGAGTTTGGGGGGCCTACACGTTTTCACCAACGTTTCGACCAGTCGCGCTCGGCCGGGTTCGCTTCAGCGAGGCTCCTCCAATGCTTGAGAGCCGCACCAGCGCCGCCGCAGCGAGCGTGCGGAGTTGAGAATCGCTTCGGGGATCCACGGCGCAAAGGGTCGGAGCCCATTGGGTGGGCGTGTCTTGCGTTCTTGGAGCGTTGCGTGCAAAGTTTCTAGCACTGAGCATGGTGATCAGAAAGGCCAATTCTGAGCAAATCAACGATCCCGAGGTTGCAAGCATTATGCAAAGAGTCTATTTCTTATCGGGAAGGCAGTAGAAGTTGCAAAAAGACCAGCAAGAGGCAGGTGCATTGGTTTGAATTGGAGGAAGCGTCACTTCTCAATTATCAAGCAAGCAATAAGCAAGATAATTGAGCGCCATAGCCATGTTGACCAGACGGTGCACTCGTGGATTCCCAGAGAAGCTTTGCCGATGTTTCAATAAGCATGCTCGTCAACTTGGGAGTTGTTCCAAGTTGAATCGACATGGACTTTTTTGTCAGTGACGGGTTGCCAAGCGCAAAACAACTCCAAGTGCTCGAGAGGCAATTCGTTCCAAATCCCCCTCTCAAAGAGCAGACTGCAGCCACTTGGATCGGTGTGCCGGCGTTGCAGGGCTAAATTATTCTGACTTCTGATTGTTCTAGCTTGTAGCCCCACTTTGAACTGTTTAAACCTGTACACCGGCTGAGCTGGCCCTATCTTCCGCCCAACTTTTTCAGCGGGCTTCCGGGATGTTCCCCGATGCCTGCACTTGTGGCATTCGGGGAAAGGGAATTTTGTTGCGGCGTGGGTCGCAGCTCGCCCCTCCAGGCTGTTGCCAGGAACTCCTCCAGCAATCAGCTCAGAGGGCATGAGGTCCGACTTGGCGAAGTCGCGAAGTCTCTTTCTAGGGGTTGAGTCCACTTCCATTCTTTTCAACCATCGTTCTTTTCAAACACCGATCGCGGGAAACAGCCCAGGGTTTTGGGCGGTTTTTTAGAATGAAGGATGCCTGGAAAGAATGGGGAAGGTAGCCCTAGACTCTTGCGTCCATGGACTGTCGGACCTCAATCCCAGGCTAGCCCTGTACAGCAAATTAATCCCGAGGGTGCATGACATCACCTGCATTGTCAGGCACCAAAGCCGCCCAGTGTTCGGTCGGCATCCACTTTTTGGTCTGCGCCTTGTAAAGCATTTGCCTCTCGGCAAAGCGGTAAGGCAGCTCAACTCAAAGGCCATGTGGAGATGTGTACCTCTTAGGCAATGAGTTCCCTCTACTGGACTTGCACATTGGCCGCAGAAAAAGCGCCACCTCGAGCGGCTCCGCATACTTAGGCCGATGAACATGGCCTTCATGATCCGCAGCCGTGGCTTTCATTCCCAGCGCAAATGGCAAACTCGGACGCAAACATCGTGACTGGCGGGGGTCCAGAGAATCCACACGCCTCTTTCGTTGCAAACCCGTCCTTTGCAGTTGGCTCGTTGCAACCAGCCCCAACTCTCACAGCACGCCAAACCAGACCAGTTGGAAACTCACCCACCGGACACCCCCCCCTCGCGTTGGCACATGGGGCAAGGCAGCCCAGTTGGGGCGACGTGCAGAGAGAGCGAGAGACAGAGAGAGGGAAGCATAGGGGCCAGGAGCCAGGGGAAGTTCCCCTACAGCAGCGAAAGAAAGAAAGAGAAAAGAAAGAAAGCAAGAACCATAGAAAAGAAAGAAAGATACGCATGGAGGGAGAGAGAGAGAGCTGCAAGATCTTTGCAAGCTCTGCAAGCACTCAATCAATTGGAAGACCAGCTGACACTGAACTCGACTGAAGGACCACGCATGCCATTGAAGCAGTCCAGCCTGCAGCTTGTGCAGGCCTTGCATACCCAAAGTTTTGTTGATGTAACCTTCTTCCGTCGTCCTGATCCTCATGAGCAGTTTGCGAGCCCTCGTAACAATTCCATTCAAAGGCTTGCTGCTGCTGCTGCTGCTGCTGCTGCTGCTGCTGCTGCTGCTGCTGCTGCTGTCAGGAGGATTGGTTCTGTTGGTGTGCTTGCTTGCCTCAACGAACACAGCGACGATACAATGGAGAGGTGCAGTTCGCGTTGGCAAATGAATGCCCATCAAAGACCCTGCAGAGTGACCCTCAGTTCAGGATATGAGATTAGGGTAGATGCTCCAATATCGCGCTTTAATTGAAATTGTCCAAATACGTGTTCTACGCGCAGATGTTCCAACCATACCGGAGCAACGCCTCAAAAGACGCAAGGACTTTGATGGACAGGGCTCCGCAAGCAATGAACTGCGCGCCGAGGCAAAGCAATGGCGTGTCGGCATCGGCTGAGGCATGTTTTCGGAAAGAATTCGATTCCTGCCACCCACCACTTGCGGAGCTTTGCCATCAGACATGGGTGTGTAAACCCCTCTGTTTCTTTTTCTTGGGAACCCCATATTGTTTCTGTTGGGAAATTAACAGGAAACCAACCATCTTGGGGGGGTTCCTGATGTTGAGACGACCCCCACTCCTGTTTCTTGCGCTTGAATGCTTGAACGAGAGTGGCATCTCGCCAGGTCGAAGATCTTCCAGCTGGACAGGAATTTGGAGGCACGCGACTCGAGCAGGTAGCATGGTGCTGGCTGCTGAACTTGATGTAGAAAGTACTGTAGACCATCCCCACCCCCTTAAAAAGTGGAATATGAGGGGGGGCGTTAGGTAGGTTTTGGAATTGTTCCATTCCATTTGTTGCTCTTCTTGGTGACTGTCACCTAGCTAGTCATTGTCAGCCAGCTGTTGCTCGCTTTTGGGCTGAGATTCTGACACCGTGCATCCTTGAGCAAGCTGCCTTAAGGCAAGGAAGTGATTGCAGAGCTGCAAACACCTTGCAGACCTGGCTGCAGGATACAGGGAGCCCTACAGAGAGGCTTACCAGGCCTGGGAAGCAAGGTTGTCCTTGCCCACAGCCTCAAGCGTGTAGCATACCTGGCACAGGGAATCTGCAGAAACTTCAAGTGGCATGCACAAGCTTGAAGTAGGTCATCCTGGCGAGACAACAGGAGTGCTCGAAGCGTCTTTGATCGTTGCTTGAGAGTGCATCCCAACATATTTTGCATTAACCTTGTAGGCAGGACGCAAGGTGTTCTATTTTGCCAGCAAGCAATCAGAGATGATTCAGAAGCGCCTAATGTTCTTGACTGGCCTTGGTTAACCTCGGACTGCCCGCAACAGTTGGAGCCGATGCCACAACGTACAACAGCCTTTTGTAGACAGACATCAGGAATAGGACCATCTAGGGTGGCAATGGCTGCACGGGAGGGATACTAGCATGGTTCAAGAGCCGCAAGCCTCCGGATGGTTGCAGTGACCTCACTCATGACGATTTGTGGGTTAGACCTTGAGGTTGCGACCTGGCTGTTCAAGAGGCTTTGGGCTTGTTAGACCTAAGTGGCCTCTACGTTTTCCGGCCCGACCAAAAGAACCGAAGCGATTTCGCGGGCCGTCGCGGTTTCCGGCCCGCGCTTTTGACGAATGGCTTCTCACAGGCCAAAGCAGCTCCTCGCCTGGTCTCTGTGGAGGGCATCAGCGCCGGCCTGAGATGGTTTTCCAGTGGTCCACGTGTCATGGCACAAGGTCAGCAAGGTTGGCCTTTTACGTTTGGGTCCTTTGGGCAGTTTTGAGAGATCGACTTTCGTATGTCAAGACCAGAAGTGATTGAACTTCAGCGTTGCCCCAACTCAAGTCTGTGTGCGGCCAGGCCAAATTGAGGGAACATCTGAAGAAAGATTGATCGCTCTCTGGCACAGGCGGAGGAGGGTGCTCATGGGAAAAAAACTGTCCTGTGATCCAAGGTCCCAGCAGTGGCACCAGAGGCGCCCCGACTGTGTTTGCTTGCCTGGCTTTTGGATGTTCATGGACGGTATGTCACGAGCTAAGGGGCGGGTGATTGTAGCAAGTTGAAATAATAAGACGTCTCCTTTCCGCTTTGCATCTATGTCCCTACCAGACTTGTCTAATTGGTTCAACTGCAATTTGATGGTTCTTCCTTATCTGTCGGAAGCAAGACAGCTGTCCCTACTTTTCTCGCGCCGTTCTGCATTCACCCAAATGGGGGCTGTCAGGAGCGAGAAACAAAGCCGAGGCGGCCGAGGAGCCTAGCATTGCCACATGTGTTGATTTCTGTTGAACGGCTTCACGTTTTGCTCAAGTGACAGCACATGTTCGGATGTGCAGTGCGAATTCCTTGTCGCACAATCTCTGGCCGTTGCTCCCCGATACCATTTACTTCTTTGGAAGCTCAAGATTAACATTTGTTTTTCCCCCGACCGTGGTGTATTCTTGTCTACTGACACGACCCTGCCAAACATTGTTTCAGAACATGTTGCTTGTCTCACACCAGACAGTTGCGCCTCAGCTGCATCTCGCGGCAGGAGAACGCACAAGGCGTGAAGTTGCTGAACAGCGCCCAATACGATGAGGCGCAGAAACGAACGGCGGCAGGCCACTTTGTTTTTTTGGTATAGGATTCACCCCAAATGATAAAGCTCCGCTTGGGTTGCATGGATTGAACAAGCAAATCATAAAGCTTCTTTCAACCCAGAAATCATGGGAAGTTGACTCCTTATCTTGGTCATTGCACGTGCAAATGAGCATTGTTTTCTGTAGATGGACTACGACGGGCAATTTGATGAAGTACTGAAACCGGGTGCGTGAGTGCATTCTGGGGCTATGGCGGTTTGATTCCCCCCCCTCCCCCCGGAAATGTGTTGATTTGCTCACTAGCCGACTTTCCACTCGCTTGAAACTTGCCTTGGCTGCATGTCTGATTGACTCTACGATCGGGTGTCTTTGAGCACACGCGGCTGGTTGGGTGCAGTGCGCTGCTTACACTGGCCTCGCCATCCCTTTTGTAGCCTCGTTGCACTGTCCCCATTGCACACTGAGGACTTGCTGTGCTGTACTAGAGCAGAAGCTGATCGTCTCGCATATCCTGACCAGTACTGGGAACAGATCTCCAGAGCTGGTTGCTGGCATCTTGATTTGACCTCACATGTCACATGCGCATACCTATCCTGCAGCATGCCTAAAACCACCAGTCGTATTTGACTGCCATAGGACACAAAGCAGAACTAGAGCTCAACGAGTTGCCAAGAACGCACAGGCTATGCAGCCTCCAAGTTCCCATGAAGCCACTTAACCATACTTGAATCATTTAAGCATTGTATGTCATATGATAGCTACTTCCACGCTTGCCTAGAGCAGATGATTATTTCAGGGTCGCTGAGGCCCAAAGATAAGGGAGTCGTTTGAAAGGCACTTGTATTGAGAGATGAAATGGCGGGCTACTTGGTCTTGTGTGTTGCCCTGCGAAAGCTCCGTGACGAAGATCGCGAAAGTTATTTGTTCCTTTTTTGTAAGCCAAGACGGCATTTCCCGGAAAAAGGGCTTTCAGACAACCGCCGGAGCGCGCGCACTCAAAAGCCATGACTGTTCCACACAAAGTGCAAGAGATTGGGCCATGTCACCTGTGACCGTTTTTTTTCTTCTCCGATTTTTGTTTTTTGCACAACCAGAAGTCTTACTAGCGGAGCCCTGGCTTGGGTGGTTTTCCGGTTTAAGCTTTTTCCCTAGACGGCTTGATTTGTATCAAGTTCTATCGAGGCTCGAGGCTTCCTGAAAGACGCAATTGAGCCACTGAGCAGCCGCCTTTTTGATTCTTTATTTGTTTCCGGGTAGACCATTTGTCTGATACCCCTTTGTTGGTGGTTTGGATTGGTGGTTTTGATTAGGATTTGAAGCCCCGAGTCTTGTAGAGGATAAACGAGGTTCCCCCCCTCCTCAACTACCAAACCACCGATTCGGCTCCAAACCAAACAACGAGAGAAGCTGAATGACTCATTTGAGTGACCTCTCCAGGCTGTCCGACGCTTCAAGAGGGCGCTGGCTTTCGAGCCTGGCAGCGCCGGGGTCGCCTGAAAGTCGTCGCTTTTGTCTAAGAGGGCAACCCTCTTTGGACGGTCTTAAGGAAAATGAGACCTAGAGGAATTGGTCAACGGATGGTTTTAAGGAAATGAGACCTGCAGGAATTGGTCAACGGATGGTTTTAAGGAAATGAGACCTAGAGGAATTGGTCAACGGAGGGTTTTAAGGAAATGAGACCTAGAGGAATTGGTCAACGGATGGTTTTAAGGAAATGAGACCTAGAGGAATCGGTCAACGGATGGTTTTAAGTAAATGAGACCTAGAGGAATTGGTCAACGGATGGTTTTAAGGAAATGAGACCTAGAGGAATTGGTCAACGGATGGTTTTAAGGAAATGAGACCTAGAGGAATTGGTCAACGGATGGTTTTAAGGAAATGAGACCTAGACGAATTGGTAAACCTAGAGGAATTGGTCAACGGATGGTTTTAAGGAAATGAGACCTAGAGGAATTGGTCAACGGATGGTTTTAAGGAAATGAGACCTAGAGGAATTGGTCAACGGATGGTTTTAAGGAAATGAGACCTAGAGGAATTGGTCAACGGATGGTTTTAAGGAAATGAGACCTAGAGGAATTGGTCAACGGATGGTCTTCAGGAAATGAGACCTAGAGGAATTGGTCAGCGGATGGTTTTAAGAAAATGCGACCTAGAGGAATTGGTCAACACATGGTTTAAAGGAAATGAGACCTAGACGAATTGGTCAACGGATGGTTTTAAGGAAATGAGAGTCGTCCGAAAGGTCGTTGTATTGAGCTATGAAGGGGACGACCTTTTGGTCTTAGCGTTGACCTTCGCGAAAGTTCAGCGAAGGGGGTCGCGAAAGTTAATGTTTTTTTCCGCGAAAGTTTTGTGTGGCTTGCGAACAGGAAGCTGGAGTGATGAACCATGTGTATCTACCGGCAGTGTGCGCAGAATGCCCGCAGAGTAAAGTTGGTCGGAGAATGCGCAGACTGAGGGTCGCTGCAAGAATACGCCGCTGCAAAAGCAACCCCCAGCCAGCAGAAGCCAGCTTCTGGGAGTTTTGAAGCTGTCGGGGCAAGCTGAGCGCAACTTCCAGCCGGATTTTCGCGAATGTTTGGCGTAAGATCCGCGAAAGTTTCGCGAAAGTCGACGGACCTCCCCGCCAGTTTCCGGACATGAGGCCAACGGGTCCTCTCATGCGCAGCTTGCGGCTTGTGAGCTGGAGCTGCGGAAGCGCGCTTCGCGTGCTACTTTGGAACTGAAAGGTCGCGACTTTCGAGCTGGGACTGCAGAAGTTCACTTTGTGTACTACTCTCAAGCACTGAAGAGCTGCGACTTTCGCGTGGGGCTGCGAGTGTACTTCGTGTACTACTTTTGTGATGAATGTTCTGAAAACAGCCCCGCGAAAGTTCCGCGATGGGGTCCGCTAAAGTTATTTTTGTTTCTCGCGAAGATGGCGGTTTCCGGAACAAGGAATTTCAGACAACCGTCAAATGAGACCTAGAGGAATTGGTCAACGGATGGTTTTCAGGAAATGAGGCCTAGAAAAAATTGGTAAACGGATGGTTTTAAGGAAATGAGACCTAGAGGAATTGGTCAACGCATGGTTTTAAGGAAATGAGACCTAGAGGAATTGGTCAACGGATGGTTTTAAGGAAATGAGGCCTAGAAAAAATTGGTAAACGGATGGTTTTAAGGAAATGAGACCTAGAGGAATTGGTCAACGCATGGTTTTAAGGAAATGAGACCTACAGGAATTGGTCAACGGATGGTTTTAAGGAAAGCAAAAGGAAGCCAACGACCAGAGGAATTGGATGGAATTGGTCAATTTTGAGAAACGCCCATGTGAGTCACTCAGTGCAGGCCATGGAATTACAACCCTGCAATTCCAAGCAACAGAGGGACCTTACCCCAATTTTCCCAATTTTCCCACGTGCTCTTGGGAAGCTGTGCCAAAAGCAGAAGAGTCTTGGTCTTGAATGGGAAAACAGAGGGAAACGTGGGGTTTGGCTTGGATCTGCCCCAACTTGCCAGATCTTCGGCACATGTTTAGGAACCAGGGCTCCAGAGTCTCGTTCCATGTCGTCAAGGAACGGGGAGAGAGCCACGAGCAGCTTGTCTTTCGTTGGGAGAACGCATAATTTTCTGACATTCGCTGTGTGTAGAAACTGCAGGGCCGGATGAACATGTCCAAGAAGGTTGAAGCTTGAAACGGCAAGATGCCTTCAATATTGCGCTTGCTGCAGCGCCGCTGTTCCTGGGGTTCGTCTTGTTGGGTGCTGAATTACACCGGCGTGCTATCCGAGAGGGAAGGGCAATCAGGCAAGATGGTTGTACCATGTGTCATCGCACCGGTTGAGGTTCAGGTCCTGGACAACATAGGCCTCGCCTATGCGAAGCGGCAGGATTACAACAGTGCCTATGAGTGGTGCTCCACATGTGCGTGAGACTGTGTTGTTAACGCACCGCATTCGATCAAGTCGCCTGGTAGGTACGAAAGAGCCCATACGGAAGATCCTGAAGATGTGGTGTGCTAAGAGCCGACCCTGATCCCGACCAAAGACACACACGCACCCACACACACACACCCACACGCACACCCACACCCACACACACACACACCCGCCCGCCCGCGCCCGCACACACGCCCACCCGCACACCCGCCCACCCGCCCACCCGCGCACCCGCACACGCACCTGCACTCGCACCCGCACCCGCACACGCGCACACGCACCCGCACACGCACACGCACACGCACACACACACACACACACACCCACACACACGCACACGCACACGCACACACGCCCACCCGCACACCCGCCCACCCGCCCACCCGCGCACCCGCACACGCACCTGCGCTCGCACCCGCACCCGCACCCGCACCCGCGCACCCGCACCCGCACCCGCGCACGCACACGCACACGCACACACACACACACCCACACACACGCGCACGCACACGCACAAGCACACGCACACACACACACACACGCACACGCACACGGACACGCACACGCGCACGCACACGAACACGCACATGCACACGCACACGCACATGCACACGCACACGCACACGCACACTCACCCCCCACACAGCCGCACACCCACACACCTGACACCCACACACCCACACACCCACACACTCCACAGACACACACAGACACAGACACAGACACAGACACAGACACAGACACAGACACAGACACAGACACAGACACAGACACAGAGACACACAGACACACAGACACACAGACACACAGAGACACAGAGACACACAGACACACAGAGACACAGAGACACACAGACACAGAGACACACAGACACACAGACACACAGACACACAGACACACAGACACACAGACACAGACACACAGACACACAGACACACAGACACACAGCCACACAGACACGGACGCACGGACGCACGGACGCACGGACGCACGGACGCACGGACGCACGGACGCACGGACGCACGGACGCACGGACGCACGGACGGACACGGACGCACGGACGCACGGACGCACACACACACACACACACACACACACACACACACACACACACACACACACACACACACACACACACACACACACACACACACACACACACACACACACACACACACACACACACACACACACACACACACACACACACACACACACACACACACACACACACACACACACACACACACACACACACACACACACACACACACACACACACACACACACACACACACACACACACACACACACACACACACACACACACACACACACACACACACACACACACACACACACACACACACACACACACACACACACACACACACACACACACACACACACACACACACACACACACACACACACACACACACACACACACACACACACACACACACACACACACACACACACACACACACACACACACACACACACGCGTTCTCAGAGGAAACTGCAAGGAGATTCTCCTGATGTGAAAGCTGGACCCAGTCTGCCAATCATTGACCTGTGACCCAGTATGGTCCTTTTTATGTATCACTATCAGTAAAGCCGAAAGAGAGCCAAGCACCCGCTGAAAGGGCCGTGCCCATTCTCTCGTAGGTTCCCGACTTCGCTACAAGCTTTCTTGCGTGACCATCAACGGTTTTTCTCTTCTTCTTCTTTTTTAGCGAAAGTAACCCTTGGTTGGTGGTTTGGGTTTGAACCCCTGGCTCTTGTTTTCTCCTGCACCGGCCTCACACCTCTTGCAAGCACCCAGCGGGGCACAGAGGTGGAGACCCTCTTTTCCCTGGCCTGGGTGGAGCGGAAGCGACAGCCCTGCCGGCGAGCTTGAGGGTCTGTGGACGAATCTGAGGGCCAAAAAAGGATCGCCCAGGATAGGCCATGGCTTGGCCGAACCATATTTCCAGTTTGTGGTCAGTTGGGTTGCCAGGGGGGCTTGGTAGCAAGCCCTGGTGGTTGTTTTTTGGTGTTTTCCTCCTAAATGGAAGCGGCTTGGATCAGGAGATACGCTCATGCCCGGGAGCTCTTCACGAAAGTCCTGGAGATTGCCCCATCCCACAGCAAGGCGATGCCCCGTTCCTGGCCCCGGTACAACCCGGCTGGCTCCTGGCTAGGCGCTGTGGCTTCTGGGCGACATCCTGAAGAATTCCCAGGAGTTTGAAGGCGCGGCGGCATGGCAGACACAATTCCATGATGTCACACCAACTTCCATGATGTTCGGCTAGGCGCCATCCAGAAGTTTGAGACACTGGTCAGGACGCCAACCCCTTTTGCCTGAGTGCACCATTTTTTTCTTTTCACCAGGATGCAGCCCAGCAGCGTGGATGGGCACATTTCCCTGGCTCAGTGCTTTGAAGCGACCAAGTCGTGAGCCATGCAGTTTCAAGAGAGAACTGTTTTGGCCGAGGATTTGTGTTGCCAGGTACTCCAGGGCAGCCCAGATGTACACCCACATCCTGGAGAATCTGAGTCCAGGCCATGTTGCAGAGGGCAAAGCGATGCAGTGGTGCCACGTGAGTGCCAGGCCGAGTGGACATACATTTCGCCCTGGGCAAGGCGCCTTTCAGGGGTCCGTATCCATGTGACATCGACATGCTGCCGACCCATTCTCGGCAGGCGTACTTTCAAGGGAAGCAGTGCCCCTGGCGGGTTTCTGGCCGCGCGCAAATATCTTTGTCGGTTTTTTCATGTTTCTTTGACAGTCAAGGTATTGATGAGATATATATTATGAGCATTCTACGCTGGCCGCAGACGGAACGATTGCAAACACTCGAAGCTTTCCCACTGCTGCCAACCAGCAGCATAAGGCACCAATTGCAGAAGCAAGCCAGGGCCATGCTCCATACCAGCGGGGATTCTTAACAAAACTACCTGTTGAGTCCAGTCTCAATCACGTCTCAATCGATTAGCAGGAAAAGGCAGCAAGCATCAGGGGTCGACTGTCCCATCCCACAATGCTGAAGCCATCAACAGCCCTCTGGATTCTACGTATGGTTGCACAACCCACGCTTCAAGCAACAAACACGTTCCGCAGTTCTTTGCCGTTGGTCCTGGGCACAATCAACCTCTGTCTCTCCCTATACCTTTCTCAGCCTGACAGGATTGTTGCATATGGGTGTGGCTCAAAATTTAAGAGCTAGGGTTCGCAAATGTTGGTCTTGGTTCCATTTACCTCCACTTACGTGGGGGCCATTTTGAGTACATTTTTTTGAGCCACAGCCATATGTGAAGGCATGCCGCGTGGGTGAAGCGCATGCTTCATTCATGTGGGCCTGATGGATCTGGTCTTGCAAGAAGCCTTCCAAAAGCGAAGCGGGTGGACCTCCTATGCCCGGGCCTGGCACTCGCAGTCTCCATTTCAAAAATTCATGCCCCAAAAGCGCGCAACTGCCTGCTCCAAATGGAGCAAAGAAAGACGGAAGCGGGCGTTGCGGCCAGCAAATGAGTGCAAGCGCCCGGGAAGATGATCGAATTTTCGGACTCGGGCCAGTGCCCATTTCTACTCAAGGAGGGGACAACTCGGCTGAAGGGCTGTAGGTTAATCTCCAGGTTGGGGTAAAGTTGCCAATCCCAGGTGGACTCAGTTGTCCAGAGCCGACCTCTTGACCTTTCAATTTGCCCTTTTTGGTACCCAACTTTTGTCTTTTGGTCCGCAGTGACCACCTTTCCGAATCATAACGACCTCACACGACCTCAACCCAAATGTTGGTTTATGTGGGGAATAGCCCCCCCAACTACCTTATTTCAGGTTGGTGAAGTATTATAATCCCTAAGGGCCAATCCTAGGTGCCAGGTACAGGCAGGCTTTGCTTCAGCTCGACCGCGTGCCGGACAGCGATGCCCGCGGCTTCGAGGCGGCGTTCGCCGCTCGTTCGGGTCAGTTTTGGAGGTAAACCAAAGGGAGACCAGGCATTTTGATTTGAGCCACGATCAAAACCCGGGTAGATGAAGGTTAGTAAGGGAAAATCCCAGCCATGAATAGCTGCGGCCGCCTTCTTAATTCTTTACATGGTTCTGGGTAGACCATGTTAATACCGGGTTTTGATTATGACTCATTTGGGGACGCTGCATGGCAACAAGAAATGGGAGAAGTTTGAAGCGGCCAAAGCACCTCATACGCCGGAGCAAAGTGAGGTCCAAGACATGCTTCATGAGACCTGAGAAGAAGGGCGAAGGTAAATGCTGTGCAAATTGCACATGTTGGCACTCAGGTTTCATAGAGAATGCGACTGCAGATGGTTTCTCAGCACAGCTTTTATGAAGGAGCAATAGTTTCGAATGCAACACACCTGGCTGTCCACTGTACAACCTTTTAGCGGCCCATAATAGAAGCGAAGCCCCGTTGGAGGCTTGGCGACGAACTTAACGCACCAGCTCAGATTGCTCAAAATAAGTACACGAGAAAGGTCCACAACTAGCATAATGTTTGCTCCTTGACCGTATTTAGTCCTGGCCGCCGAACCTTTTGTTCTTCTGAATTTGTGCCCACGCATCTTTGTGCTGCAGCTGGCTGGTTTCAATGACTGAAAAGAGGTTTGCGAAGGCCTCGCGAACGGGCCAGGCTCGATCTGTGGCAGCCAAAGCTTGCAGAGAGCTCGAGGACACTGTGGCCTGCAGGTCAAAAAAGATCACCACTAGGGGACCGCAGGTTTAGTCCTTTTCTCCAGTTACACCCATTCACCAAGGGGATTACCAACTTTTCGTCCCACAGCCAAATCCTCACCCCCCATTGTCCCACGGACTTTCATTGCAACTTGAGCCCAGCAAGCCACAATCAAGCCGCGGGTAAGTGAAGGTCAGCAACCGGAAATCGGCGCCTTCGCCGCCTGGTTAATGCCTTACATGGTTCTGGGTCAGCCATTTTTAACACCGGGCTTTGTTTCTGACTGCTCAAAGGGGCATTGTACTTAGAAAGTGGGTAACAACCATGGTTATAATCCGCTTACCCTTGTCAACAATGTCTCCTAAGTGGGTTATAGCCATGGTTATAACCCACTTGACCCTTATCAAAAATGTCTCCTAAGTGGGCTATAATCGTGGTTATTACCCGCTTCCTAAGTACCCGATCGACCGTTGAAGCACTGCCAGTCTTTTCAAGGGAGCCGCCTAGGACCACGAGCGCGCGGTCACTTTCGCGGAGGCCGCCGCTCAGATCCGGCCGCAGGCTGAGGCGTGGAGGTTGGCGTTTGGATGTTTGAGGGGTTTTCTCGTTCGAGTTGACACTGCGTAAGGACAAGGGTAATTCTAACCTGAAGTTGAATGGTGGTTCAAAAGGCAAACCAGCAGGGCGACAACTCTTTGTGGAGTCTGTCTCTCATTTGGGTGTGGCTCAAAATTGAAGAGCTAAGGTTACGCAGGTTTTAGTCTTTGGTTTCATTTGCCAAAGTGCGGTACGTGTGTTTGACCCACTGCCTTGTGACAAAAGGACAGTTGCTGCAATCCTGTTCAACCTTCTGCAGCGCATTTGGATTGGTTTGCGAGTGGTAGACGGATGCATGATGGACCCTTCCTTGGTCAACGCACGCGCTTGCGTGCTATTCAGAAATCACACTATTAAGCAACCATGCTGGTACACAGCATACCACTCATTGGTGGTTTATACTTGGTACGTGTTGCGGGGCCTGGGCATCACTCACTCAAGCACTCACTCGCTCGCTCAGTGAGTCAGCAAGTCAAGCAAGCAAGCCAGCAAACTGCCCATGATGCTCGATTCCCAAGGGTTGCGCGTGGCAGACTATGCGACTACATGCCTCGTAAGCAGCATCTACTGCCAGGGTCCAATATGTTTCCATTCACTTGTGGGTGATTCAAGCATCCCTGGGGCCATTTGGGGAAGGGACACCGGAACCATGCAGCCTCCACCCACGTGCGAAACACGACAGGTGGCACACTTCCTGGGGGAGGAGTATCTCCGCCTGGGCGACCAACAGCGGGTCTGAGCCTTCGTCTGGCCACAAGAAAATTACCCCGAGGGGTAGATTTGGCGAAATTGATTTATAAGTGTCCTACCGAGATTTTGGATGAAGGTTAGTGCCAAGCCCGGCTTTTTCAACCTCTTTTTTGGGCCCACTTGTCCCAAAGGTATGGTCAACCGGCTGGGGGGTTGGAAAAAAAAGACCAACCCCCCAACCGAAACCCCAAACCCCTCACCCTCCCCCCACCCCCCCAACCCCCCCAACCCCCACCCTCCCCCCTGGCCGAAAGAAAACAAAACCGGTGGGTTTTGGGTTTCAGGCCTCCGTGTGGTTTGCCCGGAGCTTGGAGCTGGAGCCGAACCACCTACCCAGCCTGATGGAGCTGGGCCAACGGGCGTCCGGGCGCCCGGTCCGGTTTCTGCGTCCCCGTGCGTGGCGCGCGCGCGACGCGTGCAGGTTTGGCCATGGGAGAATGGGGTTCGACTGCGACCCCCAAACAAACAATTCCCGGAAGGCTTAGAGGATATTTTGTTGGTTCTCGGACTGAGACGACGTGAATCACCTCCAGTAGCCCAAGAAATACAAAGGCTCTTTAAGGCTATTTTTCTGGTGTTTGGTTTTAAAGGGAGATTACAAGCAACGCGGAATCCATTTTGGGCGTCTAGAAAAAGACACCAGGGTTCTAGGGGCCCGTTCCTAAACATTGGAACTGATCACGCTTTTGTTGGCCTTGTGGATATGTTGCTTGCAGTTTCCATAACATGTATAGCTGGATAGTGACATTGATTCACACGTTGAACTGGAACAAACCCATGCTCAGTTTGGCAAGACTTGCAACGACGCTTCAATCAGTTTGTGTTCCTCTAAGACTGAGCATCCGTGCCTATTCAAAGTATGATGTTTCGCCTAAGAAAACCAAGCACGGTCTTGGCAAAGGTTGAATGCGGGTTGGCCAACATCTCGCTTTGTGTCACAGCGCATGTTCAAGGCAGTATTTTGTTCCAGCCAAGATGCGACAGACATGGTGTTTCCCTTTCCAGGTTGGAGTTGCATGTGGCCCTTGGCATGAAACCATGTCTTTGCCGGCCACTGGCCCTGGCTCATCAAGAAGGCTTTGCAGACAGGCCCACCTTTCCGGTGAGGCTAACTGCGGTACTTCCTGCTTCAACGTGTGGGGGATTCCTAGGCACTTTGACCTATCGATTGCTTTGTCCTTTGCTTCCCAGCCAAAAGCAGTGCCCCTGTTCCCTCCCACCACATGGCTGTGGGTCAAAAATAGGCTAACCCCAAAATGGCTTGCCCTGGTGAATGGAAATGACTAAAACCTGTGCTCCAGAGGTTTCGGCAATCCAAGTGGCACGACGCGGAGCAGCACTTCACCCGAGTCTGCGAGCCCTAGCCTTGGCAGCGGGGGAGCGGAGGGGTCCACAAACAAGCAGGCAGGCAGGCAGGCAGGCAGGCAGGCAGGCAAGCAGATCCTCATCAGGCACTACTACTGAATGCACTAGTTTAAAGAGCAACATATATGAGCAGCGTTTTTTTTTCTCAGATGATGGATTTTAATCCGCGAAGGCACTTGTGTGATACATTGTGTGCCGCGAAGCCCCGCGAAGCCAATTCGCGTAGCCCGGCAACATTAACACAGGCGAAGCCACTTTGCGAAGCCACTTCGTGGTTGGAGTGTGTTATGTGCTTTCATGGCAAGTGTGTTGTGTGCTTTCGTGGCAGTAGCATGCCAAAGGTTGATGTTTTACAGTCAGAAGGCTACGACAAGATTACAGGAAGATTACGGGCCCGGTTTTGCTAGAAACGATGGAGCGTTTTTGCGAAGCCTCTGTGAAGCCCCCGCGAAGCCTCCGCGAAGCCACCGCGGCCCAACTTCCATGCTCTGCCCCTTTGAGACCCAGCCATGTCCCCTAGTCCTGAAGCTCAATGTTTCTCTTCCCACCTTTCATCGCCCCCTTTCGCATGGACTCAACTTGATTCAGCTACATGAGAGCACGAACGTCAGAGATGTTTGTGGAACAAGCATCCGCGAAGCCCGGCGAAGCCACTCCGCGAAGCCACAGTCTTGCCGCGAAGCCTCGCGAAGTCAACCCTTCCAGGAATTCTGGCGCGCGAACCCCCGCGCGTAGCCTTCCCAGAGTGAACCTCTAAAAAAAACAATGCTCATATGGCTTTGGGTCAAAACCATTGGTACCAGTGTGGGGTAGGTGCACCAGCCATTTTAGAACCTATTTTTGTGGTTGGATTGGGATGTTCACTGGGGGCTAACCGATTTGCATTTTGACCCATGGCCATATCGGAGTTGGAATGACCATGACCCAGGCGTACCCCTTGCACTGCTTGATGCTAAGAAAAATCGTTGGTTTGACGTTGCCATGAGTTAGATTAATTCAATCATTCGTTGCCACGGCTACAGCATCTGCTGGGACGCATCCATTGCATTCCCGGAAATCATTTCCAGCGCAAGCAGTCTCCAGCATGCAAAGTTTGTATCGTACAACAATGATCTCACCATTGCGGAGCATCATAATTTCTCAAACAGACCTCGTTCAAGAAGAAAACACATTCTTGCAAACAACGCCTGGATGATTCTTCATGTTTTGTGGTTAGAAGGGTTCGAGAGTCCAGAATAAAAAGGCCTCCTTTGCGCTGCTTTTGGTTGACCAGCCGCTTTGCCAATCAATGCAATGGCACTGTTTGGTGTATCCACGGTGCCTGTTTGCTGCCAGGTTGGATCGGACCGAAATGGAAGCTGTCCGATGGCTAGGGCTGGTCAAGCACCTTGGGTGCAAGGTTTGCTGCGTGTATCGGGATGGCTGAAATTTCAGGTGGACGCTTTTGGGGTTCTGTGCTGGAGTCCTGTTTTGGTTTTCGGCTGCTTGTTCGGCAGTTGTGAACAATTCTGTGAAGCTTGCTGTGCCGTACCAGGTACAAACTGCGGAAAGACGACTCATGCAGGCTGGCCACTGCAGGTGAAGGGGACAGCATCGCTTTGCTCATTTCCGGCCCTGCCCCATCCAAGATGGGAACTTTAAACTGACATGGCATTGTTTGTAGGAATTCTGCAGGTCTGTTGACCTGTACAGAATAATCACATCATATGAAATCCAAGCAAAGGACTAGAGAAGCCCTGCCTGCAAGTGGATTCTCCCATAGCAAGATCCTCTTGCGCAGGCAGTGCTGTGAAGCCTTGCTGCGCCGGGGAGCTTAGCGGACCACGCCGCTTATGAGCAATGGGACCATTGCTTGGCTCGTGCGGCTTGTCAAAGTCAGAAACTGAGGTTGTTTCCCTTTGTCTTATAACTTGGTGACTTAATATTCCTGGCCCCATGAATTTAGTGGGACTTGCCAGGTTTTTAGTGGTCTTCCCCCATGATCATCCCATGTTTGTCGGACCTTTTGATCAACCCCCACTTTGATCATGGTAAATAACGGACGGCCAGGCTCGGATCCTTTGCATTCAGATGCGCTTTACTTGCTGGCGGAGCGGAGACAGCCACACAGTGTTCCCCGGTGGTTGCATATCGTTGCACGTGCGAGAGGCGCAGTGAGGGCAGACCATGTCTTCTTTTTCTACCGTGCCAGGAGGTCCAAATCAAGGGCCATTTGGCTGTGGTTCAAAACCAATGGTACCATTTTGGGATAGGTTCACCACCCATTTTACTCTATGTTAGTGGTTGGATTGGGATGTTCACTGAAAGTACGGGGTTTTGACCCATGGCCATTTGTTGTCAAGAGCGAAATGGCGGGCCAACATGAAAGGGCCCCGAGACGTGTAAAGCTGCAGGAGCTAAATCTGCAAGCTGGCCCGGCGGATCGCTGGCTGACAAGCCTTCGCTTGCCCCGAGAGGCAGGGTCTCGGGTTCTCAGTGTTTTTGGGTCGTGTCATCTCCTTGGCTCCAATTCTTGGTGAGCAAATGCTGTGAATTCCTCCTAAGACATATGAGGTATGAGTCAAAATTTAGCCACCAGGTGACCACAGGTTTTAGTCATTGGTTTCATTTACCAGGGTACCCATTTTGGGTACCTATTTTCAACCTACAGCCATATCACGTCCAATGAGTCGGATGAGTTGAGTTGCTCGGCCTTGAGGTGTCAACGGCAGATGTGTGCCAAAGCATTGCCAAAGGCACTGGGTGGGAGGAGACTACTTCAAGGGACATTGTACGTCAGGAAGTGGGCAATAACCGTGGTTATGGCCTACATACCATGGTTATTAGTCTCCTCGGTGGGTTAGAACCAGGCTTGCCACTTCCTAGTACCCGATCGCCCCTTTAAGCATCGCGCACGGACGAGACTGAGCTGATGTTTGCTGCTTTCTTGATGTACCTGGAGTCTCCATGATTTTTCCAAAATTGGGTCAATGACTTCATTATTTTGGGTAAGGACCCCATTATTTTGGGCAATGACCCCATTATTTTGGGCAATGACCCCATTATTTTGGGCAATGACCCCAATACTTTGGGTAATGACCAACCATTGTTCAAGGGTCGGAAGGAGACTCCAGGTAGTCATTGGCTTGGCTGCAGAATGGAGGCTACTTGCTGCGGCAGCAGCTATCCGAAGCCTCGAACTGGCTGAGCCAGGTGGGACTTAGCGAAGAGACGCTTTCAGTTGCAATCCGCGGAAGTGCTTTTTGGAGTAACATACTGAATTAGGTTTACAAGGCTCGTGGAGAAATGTGTTCATGATAGATTCCCTTTAAAACCAAGAGGGGGAAAATAGCACATGAGCTAACATACTGAGTTGAGCCCACTACAAAGATGATATTTCCTACATGGGAGAAGTTCATTTCGGGGCCCTACATGGATGATTGATCAACCCTCATGTGAGGCACAATCAAAACCGATTCGGGTAGATGAAGCTTAGTAAGGGACAATCCCCTTGCCAGCAATGTGTTGCGGATATCCGCCTTCTCAATTCCAGAAGCATGGTTCTGGGTAGACCATTTTTAGTACCGAGTTTGATTATAATTGTGACTCAATTAGGTTCAAATCAGGTAGGAATGCCCACAAAACGAGGTAGTGCCACAAGATGTAGCTGGTTGAGCTCAAAAACACATGTGGCGTTTGAAAACGAGTCAATGAGTCCAAACGGGTGCAGGAGGTGGGAACACCAGACCTTTCAGCCATGCAGCAAACAAGTGCCGTAGCTCATATCCCAATTCATATATAATGATACTACGATGTGTGCATCACATAGTACTGTATATGTGTATGTTTGTTCCAATGGCATGAAAAAGCTACAAATCTGGGAACCAACATTTTGACAACCAGCCATAGTACATATTTATATTCTTTATATATATATATATGGTACCCCCCCCCATGGACCCTGGTTTGGTGCGGTTGACCTGTATTTTCCAGTGTGTTATGCTTCTTTTTGCTTCTTGGATTTGTGTCAAATTGGGGAGGGGGGTCATACATGTATATGATACGCATGCATGCATACAAAAGCAATGACATCAGCATCTGCAATCTGAAAGAGGTTGAATGCAGCCAAGAATACAAGAACAACTCAGACATTTTTAAAAATTCTTAAAAACTCTGGGATGCAAGATTCAAGATTCAAGAATGTGAGAAAATATTTTCTGGGAATCTTGAATCTTGAATCTTGAATCCCATAGTTTTTAAAAGTTTTTCAACAAATTCTGGATTCAAGATTCAAGATTCAAGAATCTGAGAATATATTTTCTGGGAATCTCGAATCTTGAATCTTGGATCCCATATTTGTTTAAAAAGTTTTAAAAATTCCAGGGTTGTCCCAATACTCTCGGTGTTCAATAAGATTCTCGGAAAAGTTTTCCGTGAAATATTTCAATCCAGTGGTAAAATATGTTCGAGGTGATAGAACAACTTGAACATTTAGGGGTTGACCAGGATGAATGATTCTCAGGAAAGTGGTGGTTTGTGGGCTTCTCAATATTGAATCCCCAATCCAGTGGTAAAGCACTTTCAAGTGTTAGAAGAACTTGAATGTTATATGGGTTTGGCCAGGATTGACAATTCTCAGGAAAGCTTTCTGTGTAATCTTCAATCTTGAATCTTACGTCCGATAGTAGCATATTTTCAAGTGCTTAGCGATCCAGTGGACACACTTTCAAGTTATTGGTTAGACAAACTTTCAAGTGCTTTTGGTGAGCTTCATGTCAGGTATACTCATGTTGACCTCTTTCCAGGAGGTAAACAAAGGCAGGTGTAACGCTCAAAAACTGTATTTTCCAGTATTTTATGAGGAGGCGCAGGATCATTGGGGGTACTATATATATATATATATGTGTGTATGTATGTATAATATATATATATATATAGATACACATATGTATGTACGTTCACACACTGTCCCCCACCCTCTTGAACCACCTATCCACATTTGCTCATCTACTACCTCCACCTTTTGAGATAGAATTAACTTTCCTGCGCAAATAGAACTTTAAATACAATGGTTTAGCTAGAATCCCTGTTTCGAGATAGTTCTAGATTTTGAACCTCTCTTCCCTTGAAATGTCCCTTTGGAACACTGTCTAACAAGTTCAATGTCGGACCTTTCTTATGCTACAAAAGGGCCAGAATGTAAATAACACAGATCGTATTTTGAATTTCCTTGTAGAAGTCCATTAAATGTTTAGCCATATATGAAATATATTTGAGATGTAGTCTCTATTCACTTGATATTACCAAAAGCAAATTGAGTTGTGTTCGTCTTAGATTATATTTAACACTTGGATTATATTTGGGAAGCATATTCCATCTAACTTCTTGTGTTATAGATTAGTTGGAGTTTAGCCGAAAAAATACATATATATATATATACATTTTCATGTAGCTGCTATTTGGAAAGGATTTGCTTGTTTAAGCTGGAATTGAACACAAGCACATTTTTGAAAACTATATCCTTGCTAAACTATATTCAAAATTCCACTTCTAGTTGAAGTAACATCTTATTTGGAAAGGGTATCATACTGGGACATTGTGGAGGACGCCGGGCTCCAAATAATCACGCTTTGGGGACCCACAATTGGACATTTCGAGAATATAAATTTTGAAATTCTAGATTTGCCATCCCCAAAAGGCAGTAAAACCAGGGTCCATGGGGGGCGGGGGGTTGCATATATATACATATATATGTGTAATTACTTATATATATGATTACTTATATATATATATATGTATTATACTATATCCCCGCCTCCTCCGGGCCGATTGAACACATAGCCATTGCGGCACTATAGGTTTGAATGAGAAACGTAGTGACTGACAGACAGGCGCGCGCTATAGCGCGCGCCTTTTGGGATGAACCATCGGAGCTCGCACAGATGCTTTCAGATTGGCTTTCTCTCATTTGGAGAGCTTTGGTGGCGTGCCACCAATTGTGTTACAACCACAGCCTAGAAACACGCAAGTGGTTCTTCAATGTTGCCTCCAACAAGGCACGAGCTCTAGTGTTCAGTTCGGCAATTGTTTGCTAGCGAGTATTTGTCTATGTTTCCAGCTTTTTTGCCGGCATGTGCCGCCACTCTAGTACTGTCGCAGAAGGGCCGCTGCGCGGGATGAAGACATTTGCATCTCACATCCCATGTCCCTCCTAGACTAGCTAGATGAACAGGCTTTGGCCAGCACTCATATGAAGCGCCAACGGCAAAGTTTCCCGCCCTAGCGACGAGCTGGCGCCAAGATAGCGCTGCCGGTGGGATTTACATGATTTAGGTGGGCCCGCTTTACGTAACACTGTCGCTGCACTGTGCTGATTGACGCATCGAAAAGATTGTCGAATTGAAAATGGTTGGTGAGCAAAGCCAGGCACTGGCTTACCTTCCGAGCACGAATCCGAGTAGCACGGCTCTAAGAGAGGCCTGCAGCTTTTTGTTGGAAGCGTGCACGGTCATTCGCAACATGTTTGCAGAGCAGCCAAATGTTTGCCGGGTTCTCCACTTCCAATGTTTTGTACCTTAAATCCTTATGACGTTGACTCTTGGTGCAAAGTTGGATGAATTCGCAGGAGGTTTGCTTCAAAAAGGCCGCGCTTGCGGGACGTTGGTGGTTTGGGTGCGTTCTTTGCTTTGAGGGTACCCCCCTTTTTAAGGAGAGCCTCAATTGAAACCAAAGGGAACCCACTCATGTTGAGGGTTCCCAGATTTTGACTGTCGGATAGTATTTGGATCAGTTGCCAGGCACAGCAGATGCTGACGCGGGGCAGTTCTGTGAATCCTCAGGCCTGCATATGTGGCAGAGTCAAGGGTGGCTTGAGTAGGACGCCAAGCCGGATTTGTAAGAGGCCCAATGTTTGGATGTGCAATCTCGAAACTCAAGGTGAGCCGAAACACGAGCGCTGCAAATTACATTTCTGCGTGGTAGTGCCGTTATATTCAGCAGCGCCAAGCTCTGGCGATCAGCATCGCCAGGACGTGATCGATATTCTGGATCGGAAGCCTGGCTGGCTATTTCATTTGCCCAACCAATGTATGTGTTGCCAATGTATGCTACTTGGGTTGTCAAGGGCCCCCATAGCCCCCTACCCAAATAGGGGCCCCCGGAGCGACCAGTACCTATTAGAGGCGAATCGGGTTCCTTTTTGGGGGATCCGTCTTTGGGGGACCTTTGGAATTGCACAAGCCATTCAAGCACCGCTGTGAATCCTAAGGCGACGTGTGCCAAGACTGGTTGCAGTGCAGATGCCGCGGTTGCATTAGCCATTCCGGCTCTAGGCGTTGTTTTTTGTTTGCCATGTTTTTTGATCCCCCCAATGTGGTGTGCGGCAAAATATGTCAGAAAGAAGCAACCACTCTGCCAAGCACTGCCCAGTGCTGCAGTGCGGTACCCGAACAGCATAGCCAACTTGACAGAGCTGAACACCGCAGCAAGTCGTTCTTTGCTTCGTTCGCTTCATGGAGTTCGCCGGAGCCCCAGTGCGGGTCAAGGCTGCTGCAATTCGGGTTTACCAGCCGCCCAAAAAAGGGGCCGGGGGGGGGGGGCTTCGAAAGGGGTTGCCATAACATAGGAAACTTCTCGTCTCCAGTGGACCTCATGCCAGGTTGGTTCGAGTCACGCACGAGCATTCCCAAGGCTTACATGGGGTGTTTTTAAACTACATCAAAAAATGGGTGGGGGGTTTATGTCCAAGTACTTGTGATGCGGTTTCCATTTGGGCGTGGCTCAAAATTAAACAGGGGGGCAGACCGCAGGTTTTGGTCCATGTTTCCATTTACCAGGGTTCCATTTTCGTACCGGTTTTTTGAGCCATAGCCATTTGTTTTTTACATCCCCACCTCCGCGAGAAATTTCCCGGGGGTTCGACAGGTGGCCACGCCGGCGGGGCGTATTCTGTTTCCGAGGTGTCTCTGGTGACGCAGGGTGGGGTGCTGTGGAAGGCCGACGCACCCGAATCGAATCGGACATTTTCGTTTTGCAGCCCAATAATGGCATTTTCATGTGGCATCCAATCAAGTTCCATCCAATGTTCATCCAATTTCCGTCCAATTCCCATTTTGTTGAAGCCATCCATTTGGCATCCAATTTTCTATGTTGACACACAGACGCACGACATGGCATTTGATCCATTGGGCATCCAATATCCTTTTGTTGTTTAGACACACAGACACAGGACATGGCATTTCATAGATTCAGATGGATACCTGGTTTGGTCGCAGGCGAACTTACACCAGCGTCGCCCCCCCCCCCATGGCATGCAGATGAAGATCAGAAAGATAAAATCATATTCTGAGCTCAGCGCTTGCTTTGTACCCACTTTTAATTGGCTAACGGGTGCGATGGGGCACAGAGCAAATCTTGGTTGACCAGGTCCCCAAGGAAACCACAAGTGCCAGTGCCGAACCATTCTGCTGGTTCTCAGGGGATGAGAAATGGAATGACCCTAAACCATCCCTTGTGGGTTCCTTGGGCCACTGGGTTCATTCCCACACTCCCTGAGCCGGAAAAGGCGTCAATGTCAGGCCTGGGTGGCCTGCCATTATGAGCGGAGGCTGAAGCGCCCGGAAGCCAAGAAACCGTTTTGAGTCCAGGGCTTAAGACTAAAGAGGTAAAGTCAAAGCTGGGAAGTGAGGTTAATCTTGATTATGACTCAGTTGCTCGGGTCATAAAAGTCCAGGTGAAGTGATGGCAGGCCTCTTTATCATAATTTGATTGTGACTCAGCGCGGGTGTTGCCAAGCGCATGTGTGCGACTTATGGGTCGTGCGACGCGCTGAAGCTTCCAGCACAGCTTTGGCGCGACGGTTTGAAGCTGTCAGCAAGCCAGAGGCACTCAGCCTGGGGCCTGCACTGTCTGAAGCACTGCGTCCAGATCCAAGCGTCTCACTCGTGGCGACACTGTGGCGATCAGGGGAGATCACACTGGCGGTGACATCAGCCAAGCGCAGGAGCGCGAACACGTGTCGAGCAAGGAGCGGTTGCAGCTGCGCGGGATGATGCCGCCATGACTTAGAACTATGCGCGCCAGGGCTGCGAGAGCGGGCGGATTGGGAACCTACCGAACACTGTCCTTTGCAGGAACTCGCTCTGAAAGAGGCCAGGTGACCGCATAATCCAGCCTTTCTCCAACAGGAGAAGAGAACAGCAATTGGCAAGTGTTGGGCAAAAATCACAGAGAGATTTCCACAGCAAGAAAAAGATCCTCGCCACGCTGCTGAGCATGTTTGGGTTGAACTTATTATCAGGAAGGGCTTGATGTGGTAGATGGCATGCTTTAGTTGGGTTGATTGGGATGTGCTGTTGGATTCTGGGGAGCGAGTCAGCTGAGTTGGAAGGATTCGGGCTGTCTGGCAGCATCGCGTCTTTGGTCCCAATCCATGACCTCTCTCTGTCCAATTTGAGTGGAGGGGACTTGCTTGGCACATCCGACTAAGGGCAGGACTACCTGCCGCTACCTGAGTCATAGCGGAGCCAGTTTGCATTCGATGCAGCTTCGCAAGTGTCAAGCTTTCAAGCTTCTTGGGCCTGTTGTTTGGTTCCGCAGCTGGCGCTTGGCAGACAAAGACGGCAAGCAGCATGATGCAAGGGGCATGCTTCCATGTCCCAGTTCGCCAAGGGCTGCTGATGTGAAAGGAACCTGCGCGTTCCTCACGGAGCACATCGGTTGTGCGCTCAGTCATGTGCTTTCGTTCTGTTTCTCAGAGAGCATCCTCGAGCTTCAGGCAGCTCAACCCAAAACCTCACCAAGTGTTAGTCAGGCCAACGCAAATGCCCACCCTATTTTTGTGGTGTTTAGCCGGAAACCAAAAGGAAGACCTTGAGGTTATTGTTCATGATTCTTTCGCACATCGCGGGGTGCCGCTGCCTTCCTTAGGAGCATTTTGGCTGCCTTTAAACCAATCCTGAAGCGGGTATCAAAAGAAGACGAGCCCATATGGCTATGACATGTAATCCCTTTCCCCTAATGCAAACCTCCCCATATACTAAGTGGGTGTGCCGGGAAAAAAACGGTTTTTCAGCCGTAGTAAAAACGTACTGTCGGAGCTCCGGCTCTCAAGTCGCAACTTTGTAAAACAACCGTAGTAAGGAAACGCATCCCGGGTCCCCCTAATAGGACTGGATTTGACCACGGGCGGAAAAATACCTACAAAAGAATTGGTTTAGTATTGGCTGTTCTACAAGTCGTATTCCCGGATTTGGGATTTTCACAAGTCGGTCTTAGTAGGGCTACGTCAAAAGCATTTGGGAGAAGGGAAGAGGGGACCACTTCAGAAGTAAGAACCTCCAGCGATTTTTTTCCGTCCACCAGTTCGGGTCCCGAATGAAAACAAATCATAGGGCTGTGGGTCAAAACCAATGGGATCCCATTTTGGGGTAGGTGCACCACCCATTTAGAACCTATTTTAGTGGTTGGATTGGGATGTTCACTGGAGGGTACGGGATTTGACCCATAGCTCAGATGGTGAACTGATTGCAAGTTTCGAGTCCCCTCCGCCCTCCGCCGACCCAGACTGGTTGCACCTGGCGACTCAGGCAGCATCCCGCTGAGATGTTTAGGCCATTTGCTTAGAATGGGAGACGGACGGGCGGACAGAAACAGCTTGCGATCGACCCTCCAAGTTCGCATCAACTGGTTAGACATGAATTCAATATCAATGGCTTTCATTGTTGTTCAGCTTCTTCCAGACTGTCTTTTTGGGGCCCTGCTTTTTGGCTGGCCCGCCTTCAACCGGGAGGGTCCAAAAAGGCGTGTTTGGCTTAGGGTAGTCCTTTTTGGACTGCTAGCTGGCATACCTAAAAGTGCAGGCCTCCTCTGGGAGATACTCCAACTTCCTTTCCCGAATGGTCAGAAGGACCATTCTTCTAGGGGTACCTTCTATTTCCATTCCTTCCAGGCATCCTTCTTTCTACAAAACCGCCCACAACCCTGGGGAAACAGCGATCGGTTTTTGGAAAAGAACGATGGTTGAAAATAATGGAATTGGAATCAACCCCTAGAATCCTGCCCGCGAGTGTTTTGCTATGAACTCCTGTGGCGATCAAAGAGGTTGACTGCACATGAGACATGCCCGTGTTTGAGGCCACTTGATGCTGGGAATCTTGAGGATCCTCCTCAGACAGGCGCGACAACCCATGAAACAAGCCTGCGCAACAGGGCGCGACAGCTGCAGCATGTTCTGCCCATTTTCCCCATGGACTCCTTTAACTTGCTGCATGCCGCACCGTGCGCATGGCATGGAAGTTGTCTTCGCCTGATGGCTGCTTGCTGGGCCACCGTTGCCATGGGCTTTGAACAATCGAACGCTCGAGTCCTTCCCGGCTCCCACTCCTCTCGCAGGCTACAGACTTGGAGAGCAAGGCTGATGAGGCCCACGGCAAGAGTTGCAGCAGTGGACTCGTGCATTTTGTCAGGGCTTACCGCTTGGCCTTCTGGATGTTTCTTGGCCTCGGTGTCCTTGGACAGAGTGTGTTTGTTCTTGAGGGTACCCGGTTTTGCTTTGGGTTTGAAGGGAAACCAAAAGGACCACCATTTTGACCATTTTGCACGTCCCCCTCATGTTGGCTGGCGGTGGCTCGAAGGTGCTACTGCCCCTGCCGCAGTTGATGCTACGAAATGGTTCGGCCTAAAAGGGCACGCTTGTCGAATCAACTTGCTGGTGGCTTGAAGTGTTGGTAACGTGGATACTCGTGTGCTTAGTTGATTGCCCATGGAAGTTGGATGCGCGTCGCATCTAAAACATCCAAACACGCTTCGTACACTCATTCAATTCATCTTTATTGGCTGGGATTGTGTCCAGATTCAATCGCCGCGTTGGCAGGTGCGCACCGCGCTGCAGATGAGCCTTTCCACAGGTCAGGGGATCAGATCGCTTCAGGGAAAGTATGAGGCGTGCTTTGATGTGAAGGGAAGGACCCCACCCTTTTTGAGCCCTTTGACGACATACCCTTACCTATTCTTTAGTTAAGAGCCCTGGAAGATCCTTTTTTCCATACACCAAGG